ATCAAAGAAATAAGAGTTGATGTTGCTTTTGGAATAATCCACCAATTTCTCTAAATGAAACACTATTTACAGATTTGCATTGTAGCGTTTCTTATGATAGTGATTTTAATCACTGTCAAATATCATCTATACTTATCCCATCTATGCCTTGTCTCCACTATGCCGCGACCCCACTGTGCTACCGTTTTTTTATTATTTACACTAAAAACTATTTAATTTCCACATGCATTTCATTTTTCACTAATTATGAAATAGTCTATATTAGACTTCTGAAAAAACTTAGTACCCAGATGTCTTATATAATATTCCCATTTTTCGTTTCTATTGTTATTTAAAATTTTTTCATTTAAATCTAATTATATATTTTAATAGATAATAATATTATAATATTTAATAATAATCTATTTTATTTTATTTAGTTTTTAACGGTATATTGTATTTTAGATAATCCCAGTACACATCGAAAAAGATGAATTTGAAGAGTTTTACAATGGCTGTTGTAACGGGACTTTTTGGCCACTTTTTCATTCTATGCCAGATCGCGCCAATTTTGTTTCTAAAGATTGGAGGGTAATTTAACCATTTTTTATATGAGTAATTCTTAGATTTAAGATAAAAACACGTCACTATATTTTACAGAATTAATCAAATATTTAAATTGTACTTTTATTTTATTATAATTTTTTTAATTACTTGAACTAGACTTCGTCTAGTTAGCGATACTACCCATATCCAGGGGTCACAAACTATGTGGCACATTAGGATGCTCTTTCATCGGTGTATGAGATAAAGAAACAATGACATGTTGTCGAAAGTCATAAGGCCGACAAAAATAATAAAAATTATTCAAATTATTAAAAGGGTTAACAATGTAGGAGGTTAGTGATTTGATTGAGTTGCCGCGACCTCACTGTGATGGTTTTTTTTTTTATTACAATTATTAAATAATTTAATAAATACTTAAAAATAAATAAAAATAAAATTAATATGTATAACTGATTATTAATTTATGGTTACAATTCTTGTAATATACATATATAAATATGATATACAAAAATTAAGATAATGATTTTACACTGCATACTAACTATACAATAAAAAATTAATACAAAAATAAACTAAACAAAATTTTGAAATAAATCAACGTAAATTATAAAAATAATAATTAAAAAAATGTATTAGATTCTAATACATCAATAAAACTTTAAAATATATTTAATACATTTCAATTTAATATCTATAATTTCATAACAAAATTTAATTGATATTGTTGATTCCAAAGGTAGTGTTAAAATTAAAATATAATTTATTATTGAAAATACCAGGGATGTATTAAAGAGGGTTGTTCATTTTATTTTATTTCCTAATTTTAATAATTAAATTACTAGGCTCCGCCTAGCTGGGGCTTCGCCCCAGACTCGGAGCCCTACGAGCCTTACGCGACTTCGGCGCGTAAGCCTCTTCGGGCCGTCATCATAAGTAGGCCACTGATTCCGGTAGGGGTACAGGCTACGCCGGGCACGATAAGTGTTTTGCAGAAAAAATATTACATCAGAATCAGTGTAACAAAAATATATTAAAAATATTATTATTAAAATCAGGAAAATTCAAAAAGAGAATATAGTAAAATGTATTGGGTATAAGGTTGACGTTTGTTAATGAGGTATTCTCTTTAGGCCTATTCAAAAATTATTTTAGGAGGGTATTTAATATTTTTTACTTTGTTAAACATGTTATAGAATTTTGTTGCTAAAAATTAAAGTAATGATGAAAAAAAGGACATTAGGTCCTTATTTATTAGAAGTTGCCTAAAAAAATATTGATAGCGCTGGTTCAAGGGGGGCGAATATCTTCCTTAAATACACCCATGGTATACACAAAAATTATTAATATTCTAGTTATAATAATTGTGTTTATATTTTAGAATAATTAAAATAAAATTCAGCAGGTTATTATACGTGAGACAATGTAAAAAATTTAATTTTGATAAAAAGATTGGTAACTGCGATTTAACGTTGTCATAGATAAATCCTAATTTAAACAATAAACTCATAGACTCATATATCATAGATGAGGAAAAAAAGATTATTAATAATGTACTGTTCTGAAAATGAAAGTACAAACTTATATAATTATAACTGTCTTGAAATTTATATATAAAATATAATATTTTTCGATAAAATATAGTGCTATGTGTAAATGCAAAATAGTGTTCTAATAAAAATACATATTACACTGCATAATTAAGGTTCATAATAAACGTATGAGCAGAAACGAATCACTGCGCATATAAAAACCATGCGCGTGGACTTAAAAAAAAAAAAAAAAAGCTCGTAAAACGGTAAAAAATGAACGGGTTGAATTGATTTTCTTACCATATCTCAGGAATGTTGTTGGGCGGGTCTGATGAAAATTTCAAACCTTAAGTCGTAAAACGCTGGCTTCAGGGAGCGTTTTTCTCGAAAACGGTCAAAATATTAAAACGCTCGCGGGCGACCGGAAAAAATTTTCCGACCTTCGCCAATAATTTTCCTGGAGTCTGGTGATCAAGTACTTTCGTTGAAAAAAAAAATGTTGGAAATCCGAGCACGCTAAGTAATTTTCCCAGAAAAGCGTTTTTTTCCTTGTTCTATTATATAATAAGATTACTATATTTTTGTTACCCTGGTTATAAAAAAAAATTTTCCTTAAAAACACTCATTTTGCCCAATGTAGCTGAATACTCTTACCCAGGGCCGTCTTTCATTACTTAGAGGCCCTGGGCCTACTTAGATTGGAGGCCCATTCAAGATGAAAAATCTTGAAATTGT